GTGTTTTATACCTTCAATCCCTCAGCTGTACAGTCGGAGATGAGCCATCCATGATCTCGTGTCGAAAATGGCCAAGCACCTTTATGAATATGACGGAACCAAACATTAGGATCCCCAGGACAGTCCTCCTGGATCTGAAACAAACCAATACGCCATTATGATCATAAACAACATAGAAATTTGCATGATAACAATAATTTGCACACACAAAACCTGAGAATCCTTAACAAAGTCATGTGCTTTTCTTAAAGTTGGGGCATAGCTGTCTACAAGTTTGGTGGCTACGATGGCTTGGATGGAGAAAGCAGTGTCCCACAACTGGCTGCCGTTGTAACCCTGCATTCTCATGCCATCTTCAGCAACCCAGAGATAGTCATGGACGCGTTGAAGGTGAAGTTTGAAGGCGTCTGAGTAGGGATCTTCAACCCAACAACAAAGCATGTTGAGTACCTTGTTGACTGGGCCAAGACATATATATCGACTATTTTCATCTTCATAGTGAATATGTTTCATTGCAGCTTGTAAAGCCTTTTCCCTCAGGCGTTTCCCAGGCCAACGAGTGAACAATGGCTCATATACATGGTAGATGGATCCCCATAGAATGTCTTGCATCTTGGGATGTGGATAGTACAGATCCTCCTGCATGCCAGCCATGAAATTATGTGACTAAGAACGATGCTCGTAACAAATTATTCAATGAGACTACTATAATTTTGGCTCACATGGATCTTAAAATTTATCTACTCTAACTAATGTTTGGATACAAAATCAAACGTAATTTTATAATTTCTTTGACTACTGTCTTTGTTAGAAACTACGACCTCCACAATGATATGATATTGTTCACTTTGAGCATTAGCTCATGTGACTTTTCTTTTGATTTTCCCAAAATGACTCGTACCAATGAACATGTATTTCTTACTTATAAACCCATCATCAACCCCTTAATTAGCCGATGTGGGACTCCTCTCCTAACAATCCTCTCCTCAAACAAAGTACACCATAGAACCTCCCCTTAGGTCTATGGATCCCTCGAACAGCTTTCCCTTAATCGAGGCTCGACTTCTTCTCTGAAGCCCTCGAATCAAGTACACAATTTGTTCAACACTTGAGTTACCTTTAACTACACCTTCGAGACTCACAACTTCTTTATTCGACATTTGATATTCTATTGACATGACTAAATTAAGACATGGCTCTGGTACCAAATGTTGGAGGTGGCCCACCATCTAAATATACCCAAACAAATAGCCAATAGAATTGAAAAGTACAAGTGCCGAAAGTTACTCTATTCAAAAGCTCTCTCCCTCGAGTGGTTCTTCCTATTTCATTTGTTTGTTTTGGTATATTTCGATCGTGGGCCACATCTAACGGTCTCGTGGGTCATGTCATTTTTGGTATAAATTTGAAGTAAGAATGGAGTATGGTGGGTATGTTACCTTTGCACATGTATTGCGGGATTTATTCCAGTCTATTTCATGATAAGGAATTGTGTAGAGCTCTTGCCTTAGAGAAAGAACTTTGGGAGTGATTGGCCCAACAAATCTCTTCCCATATAAGTAAGACATTGGAAGATAAACCATTCGACAATGGCACCACATTCTTCCTGGACATCACGTAAAATCCAGTTAGCTTTATGTAATCAAAGGGAATTAAGAATAAGGCATCAAATTATGTGGACCTGGATGAAATGGTAGGCTGTAAGGGAGAAGCCAAAACTCAGGCGGAAGAGGGTTGTTGCCACTCCATTCGTACACTCCAAGTACGGACAGCCACAATTTTCCCCACGAAGTGATCGCAGTGGCGCCGCCGCGCTCCAAGATCCAAGCACGTGCTTTTGTCATTGCGCCACCGTCTCCGCCATCGGCGTCTTCTCCAAGCAGCCTTAGTGCAACGTAATTCAGTGCCGAACCAAACATGGTGCTTGTGCCCTCAATATGTAGACCCCACCCTCCATCTTCATTCTGCATGCACTTCCCACGTATCAGTGCCAATTACTATATAATTTGTATATAATTTGTATTGAAAGTGACGTGCCTGGTGATTGTAAAGATATCTGCACATCTCTACGCGGTGGTGCTTGGACAAAACTGAATTCAAGACGCCTGTGACATGAAGGGCAATCACCTGTTCGCATCGCACAATTTTTTTGTATTTAGTTTCCAAATAATTCAAAATTTATATACGTGGCAAGACAAGGACACGTGGAACCTACGAGACCCGGAAGTAAAAACATGGGCCCTCCAAGATCCGAGGCCCAATTCCCATCGCTTGTCTGCACGGCCGAGTAGAAACCGAGTGCCCTTTCTAACGTACTCTTCACCGCCTCTTTCCCCACCTCCTCCCCTTCTTTCACTTTCACCGCTCCACCTTTTGCGCCCTTTGCTATTTCCTTTTCATACTGTACACGTAAGCCTTACACGTGTCATTTTCTTATTTTTATTCTTTCATTATACATTTTTTAAATTAGCTACAAAGTGGATAATATCACACGATTGTGGAAAGGTACCTGAATAGCCAGAAAGAGATCGGAAGACTGCTTCCGGTGGAAACGATTGTGATGGAAGTGGTTGCGAGCATTCTGAATTTGTAGTAACTGGTGAGGAGTGTCGGCGGCGGCGTCGGCACAGAACTCCCAAACTTGGCGGCCCAAGTGATTGCTTACGCTCTTCACCCATTTCTCATCCTTCTCCCCAACGCTCTCTGCTCCCACCTTCAGCCTCCACATATTATCTAATTTTCTTCCTACTCTTCCCACACCAACGACACGTTATATATATATATATATATATATATATGTGTGTGTGTGTGTGTGTGTATATATATATAAATCAATCTTGCATGTCCAAAATATATATTTTTTTACGTTATAAATTTTATTAATTTGAATTTCATCTATCCTATGCAATGTGGTTGGAACGAGGACTTTTTTATTTTTTATTTTTTGTTATGTTATCTTTATATTATATTAAATTATTTTTTAAAAATCATGTTTAGTAATTTTAAATCACCATATTGGTTTTAAAAAAATTGAATATTAAAATAAATTTGCATGAAGAATTAAAAACAATTCTTATTTAAAAGAGAGAAAAGCAATGCTTTCAGCCCATCATCCCAATTCTCATGATTCACGTGTTGTCTTGTACAAGTCAACAGAATTAAACATAGATTTCCATGAATTTTTATTATATTCTAAAAAATAAATAGTGGTTGTGGCTCTCTTTACCAAATGTAACCTTTATTTTAACCATTATATCAAAATAGTTAATTTTTAAAGTTTTACAAAAAGTAAATTTAGATGTTAAGGTTAAAAAAATAAATCATAAATTAAACTACAAAAAAAAAAAAAAAAAAAAGTGAGTTGACCTAATGATAAATTCATTAGAATGACTTTATTGTTAGGTCAAATCTAATTAAATGAAGAAGTTGGATTGGGTTGAGCTACTAGAATGATAACTTTAAGTCATCTTGGACGGACTTTTGGACTACTAACAAGTTGATGACAAGATACTCGAGATTAGTATTTCAATGCCTTCTTCTCGGATTCTTATTAACTTTATTAGTGTAATCTTAAAAATATATTGTTGACATACAAAACAATCATGTTTAATAAATATCTAAAAAATTATAGTATATTAACAATATTATGTGTTTTGTCCCGATAATGCTTTGATATTGGTTGTAATAACTGGCCAACAAGAACCAACTAGTTTGGTTCGATGGTTTTCGATAATTGGACATTTTAGTTTTTTTTTCCTTAAAAAAATCAAAACCTTTGCTTTTTTATTTTCTCATAAATTGGACATCATGTTTAACCAGTGCTTATGAAAACGAGACGTAAGATAACTGAACCAATCAGTTTTGCAGCTAAGCATACATTGGGTTTGGTTATATGTTTGAAAAAATCGAGGTCATATGATTCATCTCAATCTTATGTTGGTGAGAAGATTAATATTTCGTATGATTCATCTAAACCTACTCATTTTGAGACTAAACATTGATTTTAAGACATGAATAATATATCCGACCTTTACCATTAGCATAACTTTTGATGCCTTCGTTTTTCGTTTGCATAAGTACGGATATGCTAACGAAAATATTACATAAAAAATGTCATCGGAAAACATAAAGCATTCTTATAGTGAATGTCCACATCGATGAAAATATCGAACTTTATTATTATTAAGATGTTGATACAAAAAGATATTTAAAAAAATAAAAAAAATCATTTAAATGTTTGGTGTAAAAATATAAACGAAAATTTAATTATGGTCATGGTTTGGCGTGTATCATGTGTAGCGGATGTGGATACAGATCATTCCAAAATATATGTTCTTTGTGGAGCAACAAATCATTCATTATTCATATACAATTCATCACATGGATAACAGATAATGTCTTATCCATCATTAAAATTCTATTAATATCTTAAAAACTCTACTAATTTTTCAATTTAATCTGCATTTAATATCGTTAACTCATTATCATTTTTATTTATAAATTTTCAAAAATCACATTTTTCAAGCACAAAATAAAATAAAAAAAATTAAGAGGATTCATGAACGGTTCAAAATTTGAACGTTTGAACGGTTGGTCGAGTTGATGACCTGAATGGTTATGAATTAGATAGTGAAGTGAATATATTTATTTTTAATGTATGTAATTTGATTCCTCCTCCAATTATTGATCCAGAGATACGTAATGGGCAGAACGGCCCCCACTCCAAATCTAACATCGATGAAATATGTATCCAAATAAATCCAAATCCAATATTCTTTTAACCCTTATGTGTTTTTTTCTCTTGGCATCGTGATTCACGTTTTTTGCTTTTATCCCTTTACAGATATTTAAATTTTTAAAATATCAGAGTACCGAAAAGAAATTTTTTTTAATTTTTTTTAGTCATACTATCATTGGTTCACTAAACCAACAAAAAACTGATGGTTTAGTCGGTTCGACCCCGATAGTTTACTAGTTTTCTAATCCCAAGCCCGGGTGGGTGGATATATTAGCTTACTTTGATTAAGGTCAACAGCTCCTGCAGCTCAAGTTTGTTGAAGTAGCCCTCTGTTTTTTTGTGGCTACTGCACGGCTAGGAGATATCATCTCTGCCTCAAATTTCTCCACCATGTCATACACCTATCAAAAAGATGTCAGATTATTAATCAACTTGACCTCTCGAGTATAATCATGTTTAGTAACACTCATTCTTTACAAATACAATGTGAAAACGACACGTATGTTGACCTTCTTCGATCTCCTGATTGTATATAATATCATGTATTCATTATGATATCATGGACTGTAAAAGGATACTGTGTTTGTGAATCTTGACGTCCATCAAACTTGGATTACAGATATCAAATCTCTATGCAATCCATAAATAAATGTGCATGCACCAGGGCATTCAAAGAGAGTGATCATGTGATCAGAGAAGTCCCTGTTTACCGATTCTCAATGTCACTTAATCCAACGTATATATGATTTTGAATCTCAAGTGTTGTTAATGTTCATACCATTCAACATCGGAGACTATATGAGTATTGATTTGTTTGTTCGAAGGAATACTAAATGTGAGATCTCACAACGGTTGAAGAGGAGAACGAAGCATTCCTTATAAGGGTGTGGAAATCCCTCCTTAGTAGATGCATTTTACAACTTTGAGGAGAAACCTTTGAAGGGAAAGCCTAAACAGGACAATATCTGCTAAGGGTGGGCCTTGAGCTATTACAAATAGTATTAGGGCTGGTCACCAAAGTGTGCGAGGCACTAGCCGGAGTAGGGCTAGACCCTTTCCCTAGTAGACAAGTTTTAAAACCGTGAGGCTGACGGCGATACGTATCAGGCCAAAGTGGATAATATCTGCTAGTGGTGGGCTTGGGTTGTTACAAATGATGGTATTAGAGCCAGATCCGAGTGGTGTGCGAGTGGGGACGCTGGCCCCTAAGGGGTGGATTGTGAGATCATCTCATATCGGTTGGAGGGGAGAACAAATCATTTCTTATAAGACGCATTTTAAAACCTTGAAGGAAAGTCCTTAAAGGAAAGCCCAAAGAAAACAATATCTGCTAGATGTAGGTTTGGGATACTGTAAGCATGCCATCTAAAAGAGTTTTCTTTCAAGTTTAACGATGAAAATAGAACCTTCAAGTTAAATATTTCACAAGGGAAGTCATCTAAAGCACCATCTTTGCTTACCTTCCTCACACTGGACGTCAACCCCATGCTCGACATAACCTTGTTGTCCACACATTTCCATGATATAGATTTCTTCTCCTGTTTCCGAAACAGCTTGCTACCTTCACCTTCAAGAACACATACAAACAGATTGAGCAAATTAATTGAAATGAAAAGAAATAACACACGTCTACTAGGGAGAAGTTTTCACACCCTTATAAGGAATGTTTCGTTTCCTTCTCCAGCCGATGTGGGATCTCACAATCCACCCCCCTTAGGGCCCAACGTCCCCATTGGCACACTGCCCAGTGTCTGCCTCTGATACCATTTGTAACAGTCCAAGTCCACCGCTACTAGATTTTGTCCTCTTTAGGCTTTCCCTCAAGGTTTTAACACGTCTACTAGAAAGAGGTTTCCACACCCTTATAAGGAATGTTTCGTTTCCCTCTCCAACTAATATGAGATCTCACACAAAAGAACATATAATGACTAATTGTAGCTGCATCAAAATGTTTGACAGCGTAAAAGATAAGTAAATCTCATATAGGTTAAGTTTTGTAGCAAGTTTCTAGTCACAGAGTTCATGGCATACTGAATGCACAGATAGGAAAGAAAGGAGAAGTAACTCGAACCTTTTAAACGTAACACCAAGTGTTCAACATATATCTTGAGACGGATGTGCGAGAAAACATGGACAAAATCTCCAACATCTTCTCTAATAACGATTTCAAAATTCTTTTTTGGTTCAAGTCCAAAGGATTTACTCAAGAGGCTGTTAATGGATTCTCTCCTTGTACTTGAATCAGCTTCTCCATTCAACAAGACAGATGGGAACTCCCATAGGCCAGCAAGCAAGCCTTCATCAGGCCTCTTTACAAGAAGAAATCTACTACATTGCTTCAACTCAGATGTGCCCCGATTTTCCAACATCTCAACCACACAAACAGCAGAGTAATCATGTCTTTGTTTGGTTTTTATCCCCTTAGCGGGATAATCTGTGACAAGAACTGAACTATCATCCTTTGAGATTGAAAGGGCCTCACAGTGGTCAAACACAGGGCATGTTGAGCAGCTTGGGCTTGTTGGTGTGCATAAAGTTGCACCAAGCTCCATGAGTGCCTGATTGAAGTCCCCAGGCCTGGAAGGATCAACTAATTGAGCAGCTGCCTTCCTAACTCATCCACCCCCCACGCCAAAAAAAAATAATGAGAACAATTAGGATACAAAGATTCTATAAAAGCCTTTAGAACAACTAGAAAATATGCTCACCAAACTTGCTTAACCAACTTCGAGTCTTTTGGATTTCCTGAAATAGCCTTTAATCGAGCGATTACCCGAATCACATTACCATCAACCACAGGCACCACCTGATCAGGAAACATATTTAGAAGTGCTTTGTAACGGCCCAAGCCCACCGCTAGCAGACATTGTCCTCTTTGGACTATCTCTCAAGGTTTTTAAAACGCGTCCGCTAGGGAGAGTCAGAGAAACAATAGGCGAGAAAAACACTCACTTCATCAAATGCTATGGAGGCAATAGCGCCTGCTGTATACTCTCCAATTCCAGGAATTTTTCGAAGGTCAGGAACCGTTTTAGGAAATTCGCCACCTTCTTTGACTATCAACTTTGCACCCTAACAACAAAATTAGAAAGGGTTTATTCAAAATTTCATAGCAATGATTAATATCCAGAGATGTCAATATATATATATATATATATATATATATATATATATATATATATATATATATATATATATATTTCATTGCAGTTCTTTTTGTACTTCATTGTAATATTTTGATAAGTAACATGCAGTCAATTTTCTAATTGACTAAAGAATATACAAGTAGAAAAGAAAACCCACTAGGATGTATGCAAATGGTGTGCATTACAGTCTTTTTGTACTTTATTTGAAATTTGGATTCGACACCTATGTGCCTCGATATTACCTTGCACCTCTACAACATGGGTATGTTACTTAATGCTTCTAAGAGTGAAGACTATCCCTACAGACCAACACAGGACCTTTCAGCATGTTTTGTTATCACTCACATGCATCCTAGGCAAATTCTCAGGAGGTCACCCGACATAGAACTGCTTTAAGAAAAGCATGCTTAACTTCAGAGTTCCTATGATTGAGCCATCGAAAACAAAAAGAAGATGCACCTTATTGGTAAAGGTAGTAACTTCCAATTCTTTTAAACCTATTTTAACCATCTTATCCTTAGGATCACTCTCATTCGAATGTAGTCCAGTTTCACTCATGTACCAGGATCGCTTGCTTTCATTCTATCCTCAGGATCGCTCTGCTTTGCATGTGTCTACCCTCTCCATAAACGCCAGGTCAACATATTCACCTTCTTCAAATTTCAAGATTTCAGCAGCTCCCTCAAAATGTTTTGGCAAAGATTTGACAGAGTCCCATCCTAAAGACTCCAAATTCCAGCTTCTACAATCTTCCTCTCTACATAGAACTCTTCCACGTGATAACTCAAGAAAGCTTCAATATCCAGTTAACTCCTCATCTTTTAATACAAACTTTCAAGTTTCGATGATCTTAGCAACTGTCCCAGACATGTCACTGACTCACTGCTAACATACCTGTCTGATATCAAAGTTCATATAATATGAGAAATCAATTGGCCAATAACTGATTGGCAATCCAAAGGAACCTTCCAAAAAGAGATCGGAAATAAAATTAGGAAAAGTATTTTTCACTTCCAGAATGTGACCCAAGGGATTCTACAAAATTCCATCCTTCTCACATATCTCACTAAATGTGAGATTCCCGTATCACCATGGCCTACCCAAGAGAAAAAAGTGCCTCATGGTCTTTTCAAATTCCTTATCGACACAGACAAAGCAAAAGGAGACATATAATAAATCAGTACGCTTGATAAAAGAGTAAATCTCCCTCCATCAAGGGAGTCTTATAAAGCCTAGAATCATGAAGCCTTAGGAAACAAGAGCGAGCATGGGGTTTTCTGAGTATGTCTTTGAGGAAGGAGCTTATAGGGTGTAAGGGAGTTTGAGAAGCTTGTTGGGAGGGAGACCACAAGTTAGGTTGTTATTTCAATATCCTGAATACTAGGGTTATCTTGTACTTCACCTTTCTTAAATACTATTCTAATGTTAAAATGGTAGGATAGCAGACCCATATGAGTCCAACAGTTTTGGCTGAACCATCCAACTCTTTATTACTTATCCTCATCTTCCCATAGGCTGACGGGGCCGTAATAAGTCATTGGTCGAAGGTTTGGACCAATTGCAATTCATCACCATCTTGCATCAGTTGTATGTAAACCCCCCCTCCCTCCCTCGAATCTCCCTTTGAACTCAGAAGGATGGGCGTAAACTCGAACGAATGTTCTCTTAACTTTTCTTATCCTGTTGCAGAATTTTTGTTTTATTTAGGAAAGAGTAGATAGAGATTGAGACAGTGATATAAGCTATAGTAAAGCAAATCAGTGTGTGTTTTCCCAGCAATCGATCAGTGGTGGTAGAAAACAAACTCCAAATGGATACCAGAATCACATGAACGAGACCTACACAGTATGGTTCCAAGTCTAATCCTTGTCGCAAGGCAGTAGTTAGTAGGCCAAGGCCTGAGATACTTTTTGCAAAAGACTATCAACATATACATAATTTTGATACAATCAGCATCTAAAAGCAAAAGAAACTTTAACTTCAAATTTTCTTTCTTAAGGTTGTTAAATCGATTAGAAAATTGATTGGTTGGTTGGGATGTGATACAATCAAAATCTTATTTGTTAACATGGCGTACACAAGCTAAGGGAGTTTCAAAAGCTTCCCGCCTCTCCTACCTCTATCGTGAGAAAGATTAAAAACAAAAAGGTGCCCTCTTAACAAACGAAGATAATATTTAAAAGTAAATGCCAACCTAAACCATGTCCAAGGAAATTGGAAGGAGTAATCGTGGTGGCAGATATTAAGAGACCAAAAATTCCATTAGTGCAGCGAGTAAAGATTACCTCTAGGAGAAAACGAGCTCGTCTATAGTATCCCAAGCCTGCCCACATTTCATTCACCTCCTGCCAGATATCTAAACTGCTTACTGAGAGTGAAGAAGACAATATTGTAGCTCAAACTAAATCATAAAACCAACCTCGAGAGAAGCACGAGAGAGATGTTGAACGGTGGGCCATCTATGCATCCAACGCTTGTAATATTCAACGACGGTCTGAACTCTCGTCTGCTGCAGCATTATTTCTGATACCCACACACCATAACCCCGTGTTTCAGGCTGCCCTTTGTCCAACCTCCTCCAAGGAAGGTCCCTATGGCTAAGGTCGTACCAATCCAATAGCGATGACCTCATTGTCTGAACTTTATCTATGCTGAACATAATATCTTCAATGTCAACGATTGGTTCCCTTTTGGACGGACTTCGGCCCCGGCGCTTTTCCCCCTTCGTGGGTTTCTTTTTCACATCCTCATGGTTCTCGTTCTTTTCTCCGCCGCTCATACTGTAACAACCCGTCCCACTACCCTGATGACTCTTCAATGATTACCCACGAGGTGAAAGTTGCCGGCCAAGGAGAGAAGAAGAGAAAAGAAACGAGTAGGGAAGGTATGTGTAGCGATGTACGAGGACCCAGTCCATTATTAGTGTAGCTGGGTTAGAAAAGGTAAACACTGCGACCCCCTAACCTGATTGGGGCGGGAAAATCCCAGTTTGACGAGATTAATACTCAATTAGTTTTCACTAATAAAATGAATAATGAATTGAGCCAAATGTGAATTCTGTCTAATTTCGCAAAAAGTTTAGAACTTTAATACACAAGCCACATAGATGGAGAGACCCAAATGTGAATTCATTTGGGTCGTCTGAAAGTCCATTAAGAGGGGGTTGGTCCGGTTCGAAATGTGGACGTCTCGTGTTCCGATCCACGCAGCGCTGCTTGCTGTCGTTTGTCGTCGCGCCCTAAACCCTTTAACCCCGAAACCCCATCGTCGTCCAGTGAATTCAAGTCAGAAGAACATGGTGAGACCCAGAGTGGATTTAATCTGGAAAAGCCCTCATTTCTTCAATGCCATTAAGGAGCGAGAACTGGACCTTCGAGGTTGTCTATCTTTTCTCAACTCGGTACTTTTTTCACCCTCTTGGGCGCGCATTTGTTAACTCATTTCTTCTCGTCTCCAGGAAACAAGATAGCAGTGATTGAAAACCTGGGTGCCACCGAGGTGAGCCATTTCCACCGCCTTCTATCTCTTGTTTACCTGCCTATGATGTATCCATAACTTGGCCATACCATTTCTCCTCTTGGGTTAGTTTTGTTGTTGTCTGAAATTTGAATTATGTTCTTACCCGCCTGTAAGCTGCATACATCCTTATCGGCTGGTGACGTATTTAAATTCACTTCAGACTTATCAAAGGATTACCCACATCACTTACCTTCCCATATGAGCAGAACACAACTTGGAAGAACTAGAGTTGAGCGTGAATTAACCGGCCCATGGGAGAAGAGGCCATTTGAATCTAGTTTCCAATATCCTTATCAATGCCTAGCTTTACCAAATTGAGCTTAAGAGAAGAAAGGATCCCTTCTTTAATTTTCTATCACTTTGTTTCCTTCTCAAGCCTACATCCCATAGACTCCTTTCTGTGAGTGCTCCTTCAGTTTTTGGAACAGCATTATTTTCAAAAGAAACAGAAGTTGCTAGTACCCAACCAACCATCTTCCAAAAATAATTATTTTCAGTACAAATTTGCTAACGGGCCTTTGGTTTTGATAACTAAAATTACCTTCATGACCATCCATCACCACCGCTAAAACAGCTCAAGTTCACCGTTAGCATATATTGTCCTATTTAGGCTTTCTCTTCAAGGTTTTAAAATGTGTCTACTAGGAAGAGGTTTTCACACTCTTGTAAGGAATGCTTCGTTCCCCTCTCCAACCAATATGGAATCTCATGGCACACCACTCGATGACTGGTTCTGATACCAATTATAACCGTCCAAGTCCACCACTAGCAGATAATGTCTTCTTTGGGCTTTCCCTTCTGAGCTTTCCTTCAAGGTTTTAAAACGTGTTTGTTAGGTAGAGGTTTTACTTTGTTTCTTTCTCCAACTGATATGGGATCTCACAACCACCTCCTACATTTGTGAGCCACCTGATCGGATAAGAAGCATATTTACACTATAAAACTTTTCACCAAGGTCCTCAAGAAAGTACCTAAATGGTCACTGTATCATTGAGGGTTCTTTCTTGTATCTGAGGTATCTCTTGTCCAATCCACCTAAAGAAATAGGGACTCAAGGATGGCAGCCTACTTTCACTTGACTGAGTGACAACCTTAATCCAAGTTTTCTAAATGGAATCCTCATTCTTATGTGTTGAGCTTCTAGGGTTGATTTCTTGTTACTCAGGTGGAATAAAGTTTCGTCTTCTTTTGACAAAGAGTACCCAAGGTCAAGCGGGTTGTCTCGTAAAATTAGTTGACGTGCGTGCAAGCTGGTCTGAACATTCACGGATATAAAAATAAGGACAAAGAATACCCCTAATCTCGTTTTAAAATGGACAAAATACACCAGGAAGGTGGCACCAACAAATATTGGGTTTAAACTTCTTTGACTTGAAAGTGCTATTTCATCTGAAATCATAAGCTTCCCCTTCCTTTGCTGTTTGTTCGAGGACATGTTTTTCCTTTATCTTTTAGGCATATGACGGTGCATTTTGCTTGACCAGGACCAATTTGATGGCATTGATTTGTGTGATAATGAGATTGTGAAGCTGGAAATTGGAAAATATGCATTATCTTAATCGATTGGGACCTATTTGATAATCATTTCAAGATTATGTCTTTGTTGCTGTCAGAGTTGTTGCCAAAATTACACACACACTAGTTGTTACGAGCAACAGAGTTGTGAAGTTGGTAGAGATAGAGGCGTTGGCATCCCTTCCAAAACTACAGTTTCTTAGTTTGTTGGATAACAATATTAGGAAGAAGCCAAACTATAGATTGTATGTCATTCACAAGTTGAAGTCAGTGGGGAGCAAATTATAATTCTATACTTACTGTATGAAGTGAAGTTAGTATTTTATTAACAAATGAACAATACAAATTCAAGAAATTAAATCAAATAATCTATTTCAGGGGCTTCTAAGATTTCAATGCTTCATATATTGGTTCATTATGTCAATTGTTTCCTATTATTACATTGTGTGATCAATTAACGAAGTCTTCATGTTTCTATGGATATCATAAACGCTCAAGTCAGGTCAGTTGCCTGCAAATTTGAATCTTTTGGAAGATAATACCTCAAAAGACGGAGACAAAAAAAATGATATCCAAGGATGAACTTACAGCAATTAGAGATTTCATCTCAAAGTTTGTTTTTGTTTTTATAATGGAAGTAGATTGCAGTTTTATAAGCTAACGAAGATTGATTGTTTTTCTTCTATTGCCATTCATTCATCAATGCTGTCCTTCTTGAAACCTTTTGAGAAGATTTAAAAAAGAGGTGTGCAAATTTGAAACACTTCTACGAGGATAACTCCAAATCACCCATATGCACTTCTAAAGTCGCACCAAACTGTCACACTTCGCCTATTATTTATAAGCACCTCCAAAAGTAAATAACTTGGGTAAAAGCACTTCATCAAAACAAATCATCACCCGCCATGGACATAGCTCCTTGACAAAGGTTCAAAACCACATCCATGCGTCAAACTAAAACAAACTCATCCATAAGCACTTCCTAAGGGTATACCTAACACACTTGGGCAAAGTATAATAACGCTTTAACTGCATCGTTAAAAGAGTAGCCTAGTTCCTGATGCCGTTTTCTATTAATTCCAAACACATTGTTTTTAGAGATGCAAAAACCATACCTAGCAAAACAACCTTAAAACACTGTAACATGCATATGAATTCAAATCCAACTGAAATGGTTTATCAGCAACGATAAATAGTCAAAACGACACAAACTTTTAAGATCATACGGCATTGAATATTATTGTAATACTTGAAATATTTTTGTAACTGAGTATCTGCTGTAGGAAGCAACCATTCCACGAGAACAAGGGCAGAGCACTGTGGCTATAGATTGGAGCACGCATCCTTGAAGATCTATCAGATAGGCGCCAAATCCAGATCAAAAGGACATAACCCCTACGAGTACAAAAGGTAGATTATTGAGCATGTAACCATACAAATATAAAATTAAGACAAAGTTCATTATATAAAGCCTTCACAAAGTTCAATCCAAAACTAACCTCCGAGAACCCTGGGCGCTGGTGCAAGCTCTTTATCCCCCATCTGCACCAGCAACGAGGAGTGATTGATTGATTGCTATTCAGAATCACCATACTCTTCCCCATCGGATAGTTCATCAAACGATCTTATGTCAAGCTGGTAACGAAGAATTCCTCCAATACCACCAAAACCTCTGCAGAATTGTGATCCTTCCTGTGATTTGTTCGTAACGAATTCCAGGGTACAACCGAACTTCTTGTACTCATTTGCAAACCATTCAAGCAAGGCCATTTTTTCTTGAACCTCCAATTCAGCAGCGGTGATGAGGTCACGGAAGTTGCTCTGATTGGCTTCCTGTTCCTTATTCAAGTGCTTTATAATAACCTCACCAGTGGAAACATTCTTTAATACGTACCTATTGATATCCAAATTTTCCCAAACAATGAGTATCTCAACAGCACCCATCTCCAGAGCTTTCAGTGTGTCGTCAACACCAAAAACATATTTCCCCGTGTCCTGGCTAATCTCTTCAAAGTATTTTCCAATCAAGCGCTTCTCCTGTATAAATTTAACATTAGACAAGATCTCGGATGACAATTCAATAGCCTGATTGAATCCATTTTCCCCTCCATAAGAGACATCAACCACATTAAGTATTTTAGCCTGAAGACGAGGATCAAACATGTCGGATTGGCTGAGCTCTGTTTTGAAGTCAGCTGATCCAGCCAGTATCAATCCTGCAACATTGGGTTGACTAGTGGCCGGATTAATATAGAACTGGGTTGCAAGCTCTGCTGTTTTCCTGACATAGTTGTGCCGTTTCTCCATCCGAAGACGGGCAAACCTAAGTGCTGATTGACCTCCTCTTCCATGTTTCTTAGGAAGGTCGACGCTAAATTTGTGAAGGACTTCACGTGTGTTACCACTCAATGTCCCAAAAAGTGTTCCATTACCATCCATGACAATGAAGCCAAACTTGTCATCAGATTCTAAAAGTTCATTCAGGGCTTCCGTATGGAACTTGTTGTCGCAGAGATAGAGAGAAGCATTTATAGGTCTGAAAGGCTCAAAATCAATTGTAACTTTCTTTTCTTTTCCATCTTCAGTCACGATTGTTCCAGTATATAGCACAAGCCCATTTGGAGGAACCTTGTTATACAACTTGAGTCTCTGCTGAGCAGACGTGATGGCGCCCAAAACAGATTGGCGATTAACCCTACTCTTAATGTTCGAAGCAGTTCCAAATTCATCACCAAGCATCTTAGTAACACGAGATATTTGATCACGCGGAGGCATGATGAGAGAGATCATGCTAGTCCCATTGCCTCTTGCAGCTTCAAGTGCTTTAATCAACTTCTTAATTTTCCATATTTCAATGTTCTTATCAGTCTCATGACCATCAGCCATCGTAATAAAATGAGACTACTGTGTAAAAGGAAAAAGAAAATACATGAGGGAATGCATTGAATCAAGAAAATCCATTGTTTCCATGAGTGGTTAAGCAGGGAAAGGTTATTGAATTAAATTTAAAAGAGAAACAATAGAGCAACAAAATGTTTTTCGAGCAGGAGGTCTGGTGGAAGTTTTCATATGATTTCCAACAACACAAGAATTTATGATAAAACTTGGGTGCTTTTGAAAGAGAGTTACCGGCGGGGATGGGTGCTCGAGAGAGAAAGAAGCCGCCGCGATGTGGGTTCGTGGGAGAGAGCTGCTGCCGGGCGCTAGTACGGGGGATTATGCTCGTAAGAGATGCCGCTGGGAGTTGGAGACAGAGAGATCTCGGACCACCGGAAGAGATCTGAGAAGGATTGAAAAGGAGAGCTGGGGAGTTGGGGAAGCAATCGGGGGACGGGGTCCGTAGACTCTGCTCGGGAGAGGTGAGAGAGAGATCTAAGATTGAGAAATGGGAGATTGAGAAATGGAAGATTGAATTAGGGAGATTTAGGGTTTCTCCAAAAGACAGGGTGGAAGTTGTTGGGCTGGGCTGGTTTGCTGTTTCTATTTTTTTAATTATTTATAATATTTTAATTGCAATTTACCGTAGTAGCTTAATTTAAAAAAAAAATGATTGAAATATAAAGCCTCTCCATTTAATTTTAATTTCTAAAATTTTATTTGCAATTAACAATATATAATTAACAGGGAATCCTGTTCATCTAAGAACTTTAATATTAACCTACAAATAAAACCACCAAATTATTATAAAATATTAAATAATTAGTTACAAGACTTTAAAAAAATAAATTTATTAAAGGTCAATTGAATCCAATTGAGGCTTTTTAAAATTTAACCCAAATCATAAAGTAAATTTTCTCACAACTAGTATCAATAATAAATTGGATTACTAATTTAAAATTTTATTTATAATAAAATAAACATTTAAAATATCTATTTATTTATTTTCAAACCAAAAGAATAAATCAAGAGATGATTTTGAAGATCATAAACATTAACAATCAAGGTAGTTTAGTTAACCTAAACTAATTTTAGAACTTTTAAACCCTAACACGTAAAATTTCCATTTATTTAAATCTAACTCAATCCAAACCAACCCAATTGAATACACAAAATCCTTGAATCAACAAAAACCATGAGTTCAGAAACAGAATATCAGGCTAAATATGGGGCGCCCTTAATGCATTGGCTTGAAAACCATTAAGAAAAAACGATTTGCATTGCTGAAACCCTGCTTTAAAACAATTTGTTGCTCTGTTCTGATAATATATAACAACATATCTAGTTACTCTTGATAACATATCCAACAAGCCCATGTCAGCCACAGAGAACAAATGGACAAACTTTTTCTACATCCATTCGCCATATCGGAAAACCAGAGCCGAACAACCAGAAGGATAAGGCCATCACACGCAAAAAAAATTGTATGACAACGCAAATATCATACAAATAGACAACCACTACACTACGTGATGAGCACACTTGAAAAAAGGGGGTCAAAAGCAGAGCAAATAGGCAACCACTATACTCTCCAGGACATTGAGACGAGAACAAATAATTCTAATGGTTTACAATTGACAAACTATTCGAGAAAGAACAAGTTAATACTTCAAAGATTAAAAGCAGCTAAAAATACGATACAAATTTATAACTCATGGCATAAAGGCAAGCAAATCTAAACACACCGATCAATTAAAAGGAATTGGGGAGCTCGCAAAAACACTTGATGTGAATTCCTTCAAACAAAACTTAGTTTCATGGATAACATTAAGATCAATGTACTACAACAACGGTGCCTAAATGCTCTTCTTCTCAAACAAAATTGAATAATCAACATCCATAACGAAGAAAACCCGAGACAAAGACAAAATGTGCTCAATTGCAATATCAAAATTCAAACCCACCCATCCTGATCCTACTGCAAGCCAATTCTGAGACAAGGACTTAGTCGCCCTTTCTTCTAAAGGAGCACCCTTCTGTTAGCCTAGCGCGCCCTCCAGTTGGCTGGCACAAGACCGTCTGGCAATTCCCACATACCACGACTGTTTGTGAATGACTGAATACAGTCGTTCTGTTTTCCATTCAAAGAGTTATATGTCATCACTCAATAAACAACCTAAATATCCAACCCTTAAGGGAAAACACAAAGTACATGTAACCATAATACATGAAAAAGATGAATACTTACATGTTAAAGCAACCCTGACACTTCACGTCCTGCATTCAGAATTAACAGAACAGCTCGATCACCATTATCATAGTAACGATTTGATTAAAAAATAAAAAATAAAAAAGTCAAAAGGAGGAACACGAATCGACATACCATGAAGAATGAGTTGGGCGACTGTACGAGACGCTTGAGCTTGTGTTTTCTCTTCTCGAGTTCGGCCGGAGGATTGAGCAAATCGATGTCGTTTTGAAGAACCTGTCAATAGCGTGAAAGAAAGTGAAAATTATAGGATCCGAATTCGGAAGAGATGAAGAGGCATAATCCAGATGTAGCAGGGAAATTTGGAGTTTACCATGATGATCAAGAAGCAACCGTCTGGATCGCGAACCCTAAAATCCCAACGGGAGTTCGCGAGAGACACAGGGCGGTAGGATGAATGCAAGGAAACAGGAGAAGAGCGCCGTCTTGGATGAATATAAAGGAGCGGCTGGAAACTGTGAACACCGTTGGATTTGTTTAGAAACAAATCTCAGCCTTTAACTTTTGACATGCCTAGGGCTACGCACTCGCAGAGGGTATAACCGTCCATTCAGATATTTAATAATTAAAATTTTTCCCACTTGAAAATCGTTATCCAGAAAATAAGGTTTATTTTCTGCAACTTTTTCTTTTTTCAGTTAAATTCCATCTTCTTCTCCATCCATTACTGGCTGATAGAGAGGAGAGAGACCCCAGAAGCCATGGTTTCCAAGGCGACCTTCTTCCTTGTCCTTTCATTGCTGACTGTGAGTGTGCGGCGTTCCGTTTCGGAGGATCCTGTTCCGATCCCATGGCCTCTCCAATTCCACTCAATTCTGTTCATGAATTACAGCGGGATTCTTCAGATAATCGACCTCTGGTACGACTGGCCCAATGGTCGTAATTTCAACATCATCCAGCACCAGCTCGGCAACGTCCTCTACGACCTCGAGTGGAACAACGGCACTTCCTTCTTCTACACTTTGGACTCCTCCAAGACTTGCTCTTCGGCTCAGCTCGAGGTGGGTATTCTCCGACCCAATTGGCTCGATGGAGCCAATTATCTTGGTCAACGCCATGTCAATGGCTTCCTTTGCAATGTCTGGGAGAAGGTCGATTTCATCTGGTATTACGAGGATGTTGAGACCAAAAGGCCTGTTCATTGGGTCTTTTATACTGGTAACCCTCTGTCTCTGTCTGCCCGATTCTTAATTTGCTGCTATACATTAGGGTTTTCAGTTTCCCTTCCCCAATTGTGCAGGGAGACAGGCTCATGTGATGACATTTGAAGTGGGTGCTGTGCTGGAGGATGAGAAATGGCAAGCCCCTGTCTACTGCTTTGACGGCAAGGGAGGTGGTGCTAACAATGGGGTTCTCCACCAGAATTTGCCTGTAATGGATGGAGTTCTAAGGGGCTCCCTATTTCCAGCTATCTGAAACCTTGTTGTTTCCTGCCTACTCCCATCACCCTAAACTTGTTGGACAACAATTGAATAAATTAGCACCGAAGTTTATGATCTATATCTTGTTGTTTGTTGAAACAAAGGGTCTCTCTCCTCATTTGTGTTCCAACTTAACCATTCTAATACCAAAACATCTCATCACGAACTTAACATCTATGGAGGGAGAGAGACTGTGATCCTTCTCCCAATTCGATTAGGTAGATTACTAGATTTGAATGGTTTAGATGAGATGACAAAGGGGAGAAATTTACTAATAGGATTGCTTGTGGAGTTTCGAGTATAGTCTTATTGTCTCCTAATAAGATTGCATGTCTCAATTGAGCCATTTGCTTATCAGAGTGGCATTTATTCTGGAAACAGATTTGAAAGAAAACTAATTGAATGCGTTCTGTATAAACTAATCATTATAATACAGGCTGCATTAAGACAGTACAGACATACCGTCCTGTACAGTAAGACTCCTTGACACTGTTCTTCCTGATGGGTGTCATCCAAATGTTCTAATCACCATTCTGACTAAGCTCTTGCTGCTCAAGCTTTGGAATCAAGGCCTTCTCTTCGTCCTCTTCAACTGCATTGTAGACTCGGCCATCAGTATCTTCTTTCTTCTTATTATTTGCCTGCTTCATCAAGACTACAATAGAGATATATGAGACCTCATCAATATACGACCATACTAATCTTCAATATTTTCTTCCTTATAATTTGCTTGCCTTATCAATACAACATTAAAGGCATAAATAGTAAGTTAAAAGTCCTGGAAGATATTAAAAATACCCAATACCTTCTTTGAAGACAAGTCCAGTCGGTGCTGCAAAGAGAGGACCAATAAACCAGACTGCCTGCCGATGGATTATCAACAACATACTGCACTTAATTGCAATCAAATATATGTGAATCAATAAGCCCAATCCTCTATCAGAAACTATGTGGAAGATCCACAAGTATGATATTGATATTGTCCACTTTGAACATAAGCTTCATAGCTTTACTTTTTCTTTTTCCAAAATACTTCAACCAATGAAGATAGCATTCTTACTTATAAATCAATGATGATCCTTTAATTAGTCAATGTCGGACTCCTCTCCCAACAATCCTCAACGACGGACCAATATTTTGCTTTAAGTGTGTCACGAAGAGTTATCACGAAAGAGGTAGCAGCTGTCACTAAGTCCGCTCTATATGAAATTACCTGCCACAGTAAGCAAATTAACACTGAAATATTTAAGAACATCTTCATCTTGTCATAGACTCTCTACGCAGGTTCAAACGCATGAGACTGTCTTCACCAATGAAAAGTGAGTACACGTCAAATCCTAAATTACTAGCAAGTAAATGAAGACAGCTATCACCTTTAAGCACTATGATCAAATCATTTAGAATTATTGAGCCAGGCACCATGATCAAATCATTTAGAATTATTGAGCCAGGCACCATGATCTTGTCGGTAAGGAGGCTTAGATGACACAACATTAGGTAGGCTACAATAGTATGCTGCATGAAAATTCCAGAACCAGACAACACACCAACATTAAGTGTAGTGAAAAACAGCAAATTTGAATTTCTCGTTTAATCATCTTGAAATTCGAGTGAAATAAATTGTGAGAAACACATATACACATGCAATCGAGAAACTATGAACCGAAAATCACTTAACTAATAAGTAATATAAAGGTTGAATTACTCATTACTGGTTTTCATGTTGAGTTTATGACTAAAGACCCAAAATCAAAGGATTAGGAAGGGTAATAAGAGACCTGTAAGAAGAAGAAAGAGATTTATTTTGATAAGATGCTAGAAGAAGCGGCTAAATTACCTTTTTGCACAGTATTCCTACATAATCTCATGGAAGGAGTTATCTAAACACAAAATTCCTGTACCATGCAGGCTATTTGATTTTCTTAGTGTAATCCGTGGAAAGGATAATTCATTACATGAAAGTCTTTAATCAAATGGAGTCGATACAATAATGCACATGAATAATGGAGTTAATACAAATAATCAGTTACAACTTACAAAGAAAACGCAAATCCAAATCGTAAGAGACAAATATTAGAAAGAATTAAAGGATAAGTAGAGAAGAGAAAGAGAAAGCAGGCTGAACCTCTCGAACGTCGGAAGAATCAACGGTCCAAGGGCCATAAACTCCCTGCTAGACGGTGGGAGTGGGCGACGTTTGGCCAGCGGCCTTGCAATTGAGAGCTAATAACTTAGATGGCGGAGGAAAAGAAGCTGCGGAACGAAGCAGCAACTTAGTTTTAGTATCAGCCGAGAAACTAAGAGAAGGAAGCTTGGAGGGAGAAAGAATGGAGGCACATAAACATCCACGCGCCATTTCAGACTGCCTCCGCCACAAATCTCCCGCTTGTTTCCGACTCCGCCGTACCGGTCAATATTTTCTTCTTTTAACCCAAAAGAAAAAAATAAATAAATAATCAGACCATGGGCCGGGACGGATTTCATTACATTGTAATATGGGCCGAAAATCACTGGAAGCCCAGCCCAGCCCAGCCCACAAGTTTCTCAAATTGTAGCGACTTCAAGAAATTAGATATTAATTTTTTTAATTTATAATCTTAACTCAAAATTATAACTTAATTAGTTAAAACAATATATTTTTAAACAAAAAAGGTGTATGGACAAAATTAGAATTAAATTGAAAATTGAAATAAAGTAAATTGGTGGATGCAAAGGCACGGATAAAATGTGGAGGAATAATATTAAAAAAAATAAATAAAAAGAAGAAGAAAAAGAATATGGTTTGTTGTTTGATGAGAATAAGAAAAAGGAAAGAAAATATAAAAAAGGGAAGGAACCAACGGAAAGTTAAACAAAGCAAAGCCGCAAAAGTTGACGTGGAGAGAAAGCCGAAAGCAGCAGAGCCGGACGTGTCCAATTAATCAACATCAACTACAAAGAAAAATGGTCCCCCCCACCCCAATAATGGGTCTGCAACCCCCCAAACCCCACTTCCACGTCACCCTCCACGCCGCTTACGTGGACGTACAAAACAACCTTCCTTTCTCTTGTCGTTTCCCCCCACCATTCTTTATTCGAGTTCCACTCCATCCTTCTCCGCCGACGGAAATCCAAAAGATTGCCCATTTCTGGGCTTTCAACGATTTCACCTGCCCCACTTCAAACAAGTGGACAAGGCCCACTTAAGCTCCATGTCGTAGCTAGCTTTCGAACCTCTAATCTCGAGAGATTATGGGTGAGATGTACTATTTACTTATAAACTCACGATCAACCCCTTAATTAGTCGATATGAGACTCCTCTCACAACAATCTTACTCTTGAACAAGGTACACCACATAGCCTTTTTTGAGGCCTATGGAGCCCTTCAAATAGCTCTTCTCTTAATCGAGGTTCGACTCATTCTCTGGTGTCCTCGAACAAAGTATATCCTCTGTTTGACACTTGAGTCACGGTTGACTACACCTTTGAGGCTCGCAACTTATTTGTTCGACATTTGAGAATTCTATTGACACAGCTAAGTTAAGGGCATGACTCTGATACTATGTTAAAAATCACAGACCTCCACAATAGTAAAATATTGTCTGTTTTGAGCATAACCTCTCATTACTCTACTTTTTGTTTCTCCATAGTATCTCATATCAATGGAGATATATTCCTTACTTATATATAAACTCATGGTCAAGCTCTTAATTAGCCAACGTGGAACTCCTCTCCAATCAATCCTCATCCGTAGCTAGGTTTCAAACCTCTAATCTCAGGATCAATTAAATAAGTAGTAGATGTCATATAAGCTATCGTTTCCATTGGTACAGAGATTTCAAACTCTTAATCTCATAATCGATAATGGATCATCTTGTTTTCTTTTTTATGTCGCCGAGAAGCATAAAGCTTTTTGAAGCAATAAAACATGAGAGATGCAGGAGAGTTGATTAAGAATCGTGGGTTCATGAATGTAACCAACAAACTGTTCATACTAACAACAAAGAAATTAGATTAGATTCGTGTGGTAGGCCCATTTTAAGGTCGGCAAGCCTTTATTTAATGCAATTCATTAGATTAGTACCAAACCATCACTTTTTGGTAGCTTCTATATTATTTTAACCACACCAACTCTGGCATGCTGCTAAAGTACCTAAACTTCCATAATTAAATTACCCTAATATAAACATATCCCATCCTCTCCTATTCTATGCTACAAAATATGAAAACTTGAGTTCCTTCCCCAATTGGCTTCCTATCATTTCCAATAACTCCTTGGAGCAATAGATATTAACCTCATCAACTTTGAGCCTCCTATAATACCTACCTACCTACCTACCTACCTACCTACCTTATTAATCCCACTTGGTCATTTCCAAGAGTGGTTGGGGTAGGCTTTCACATCACATTTTGCCACATTTAATTTACTTTTTATTTGAGCTAAGTATTATTGTATGCAGAAATAGAATTAGTTCAAGGGGGAATGAAAAAGGATTTAACTGAGAATTATATGGTTTATAGGAATCATGAAAGCAAAGCATATAAAATGTGATACTACAAAAGCACATAAAAAGGGTCTAATTGGTTGAGCCACCGGCGCCAAAATCTTTGCCGTAGTGATCGTGGTCTTGTTGGCGTGGGTGGCTCGGGGAGGAAGAAAAAGGGTAATGGGGTTGTTGGTTGAGAAGAGTGGAAGAATAATAAGGGAAGTCGGCGTCGGTGCTGGAGAGGAGTTGGGCGTACTGTTGAAGGCCGGGGAAGGCTTCTTCCTGCGGCAACGGCGGGAGAAGAGCAACAGAAGATGATGATGACAAGGATGCTACGGTTGCCGGAGCTGCAGCGGCACCGCCAGTGGAGGGAAGGAAGCCAAACTCAGCAGGGTTGGCTTGAACTCGTTCAGGAAAATTAAGCTTGGCCTTGGTGCCTTTAAACCTCAAAGCGGCGTTATCATACGCAATGGCAGCAGCCTCGGCCGTGTCGAAAGTGCCAAGCCAAACTCTAGCCGCTTTCTTCGGGTCACGAATCTCCGCTGCCCATTTCCCCCATGGTCTTTGTCTCACGCCTCTATAATGTATCTTCCTCTCTGTTTCTGCCATCACATTCCCACATATTATCATATCAATTTATAACCAATATCTCTCCATTCGAATATTATTCAAATGGGTGCATGTGCAAGAGCTATCCCGCTATATATATATATATATATATATATATATAATATATTATATACAAATACATTGTATGTACAAAATTATTCAATAACCGCTACCTTAGGAATCTCAATTTTAATAAACGGTTAGACCAACGATAGAAATACTTCAAATTTGTATATTGACTGACAAACATATAGATTTCTGAATCTATATTCTTCGGTTGTATTGAGCTTATCAAACATTAAAATCCTAGTCGAAGTGTGAAATCCATAGCGATTGGAGAGTAGAACGAGTGCTAACAAGAATGAATTGTTAGATCTCACATAAGTTGGAGAGAGGTTATAAGGGTTTCAAAAAATTTTGAGTTCTATATTCGGGATCGGTGGTGGGCTTGGGCAGTAACACAGAAGTTCAATGATACTTTGTTCGAAGGAGGAATCCACGAGAGATTAATATCATACCATTATAGAGATATTTAGAGAATTGTCGTTTGGAACATGTTACCAAAAGAAAGACTCGATATTTGTCATATTTTAATAGAATAAAGAAGTAAAAGAAGCATGAAGACACATGAGATGAAGCATCTGTGTCCCTACAGCGCCCCCATGTTCTTGAGTTCATAAACCTTCCCATGCACCACAAAAGAGCATAATAATAAAAACAAAAGTCGGTGGGTGGTGAGTGACCAAATTGTGTAGCATAACATGCATCAATCCCTACCTTTATTGCACACTTTTACCCGTCAAAAAAATGTTGAATTCCA